ATAGTAAAAGTTTTCAGAAAGTAGATATGCTATATAAGCTATACATGCTGTATAAAACTATCAAATGAGCTTACTATTTGAAGGTCAATTGTGGCATCTTGAATTTAAACAGTCTTTTTAGACATTTGCGAAATTTTAAGATACTTTATATTCTCATCTTAAATCTTACCTTCTTCCTCCACTAGTCCTTTGAAAATTGAGTCCCCAAAAGGTTGGTTCAAAAATGACATGTGTTTGGTATTGTATTTGTTTGTGTCTTTGGATTTGAGTTGGAGTAAATGAAGAATTAATGTGGGGTAGGAGATGATAGCTCTGAAATAGAAGTCAAGAGCTTTGATTCTTGTCCTAGCTTTCCTATTTCTGGGCTCCATTATTTTAGCTTATTTAACTTTTTAAAGAAGTCACTTCCTCATCCGTAAAACAAGGATATTTTGCCCTGTAATACCTTTAATTAAAAAAAAATCCTACGCTTCTATAAAAGTCAGAGTTTCGGCAGAAGAGTCTCAGAAGCAATGGGAAGTAAGGGAAGAAAACAAATATTAGCAAAGACATTGTGGACATATGAGACCAGCTGCTTGTCTTTAAAAATGCTCACCCTCGGGCTTCCCTGGTGGCGCAGTGGTTGAGAGTCCGCCTGCCGATGCAGGGAACGCGGGTTTGTGCCCCGGTCCGGGAGGATCCCACGTGCCACAGAGCGGCTGGGCCCGTGAGCCATGGCCGCTGAGCCTGCGCGTCCGGAGCCTGTGCTCCGCAACAGGAGAGGCCACAACAGTGAGAGGCCCGAGTACCGCAAAAAACAAACAAACAAACAAAAAACAGAGAAACAAAAATGCTCACCCTCTCCTTTTCTCTTTCATATTGCATACCATAGGTCATGATGCCCTGACTTCTACTACAGTTCATTATATTCAATTCAGTACATATTGTTTGAGCACTAATATGTATCATACTCAAGGCTCACCTCGTTATTCCACTGTGGATTCAGGCCTTTTAAAGTAATATGAATTTAGAATTTGACTGTCTCTGAAGAGAGTGTACAAAGCAAGATGTGTGTCCTTGTTTACACTTTGGTCAAGAATGGTCAATACTTAATGGGGTGGGTCAAGAAAAAACTTGAAAACAGAGTAAGATCAAACATATGAGGGAAGTGAATAATTACAAAAGTAATCAGAGGATAAGTGGAGAGAAATAGATTTGACATCTTCATCATCAGAGACTATGTCCTGCGTCACTGGATAGAAATTTTCTAACACTGAGCTAAGACCTTTGGTTCCTATTTAAAAGATGTGTTTATATTTTACTCAGGTGCCTCAGGTGTTTGAATCTGCAGGACATGTATGGATTTCCGGTCTATTGTCACTCCCTTTTTGAAATTTTGGTCTTCTGGCAAACAGATATATTACCTCTTGAGAAGTGTGACCTTGCTTGTTCTGAAGTCAATGGGCTGCAGAGTTCTCTGTGTTCTGTTTGGCCATCAAAGCCTTGGGCTTTGGTTTCCATGCAGAGTTAATTCTACCTCTGCTCCTACGAAGCTAAGAAAGCATAGAATTTTTCCTGGCTGAAATGCTACCATCCATTTGCTTTAGGTTTTAGGAAAATTCAAATACAAAACATAACCATAGAACATTATTTTTCTAATGTGGACCAGTGTTGAAGTAATTATTAAAATGTGTCAGGTGGAGGCAATTCATGAGTTTATCTCTGGTACTTCTGTTGTATGCCTCCCTTCTATCTTTCTTAACTCTCTTCGTCCTATCTGATTTTTCCTCTCAGGCATCCAACATGCTCTTTGTCACTATTCTTCACAGACATTAAACCTACTATCAGAAAGAAAATTTCTTTATGGCTTAGTATGAATTAAGGATAGCGTTTTCCCTCTCCTGGGGGTATTTGCATTGTGAACCTTTGAGTTGAGGGAAAGTCCTTCCTAATGGAATGTCAGCAAGGACTTTCCAGCACCTTTAAGACACCAGAAACTGTACTTTAAACTTGAGTTGAACCTGCAGCTGGGCCTATATTAGCACTAATTCCTCCTTACCCTCTAGTTAAATTGAGTCCAGTGACTCAAGTAAACAGGAGTGTGGGTGCCGACCCCAAAATTCTAACAATATTTGAGTCACAGAATTCGTTTGCAAAGTTAGAGCCACTTTTCTTTTCCTTGTTCCCTATTTATTCCTACTACTAAATTTATCTTAAGTCTGCCTGCCTTGTTAGACTGGAGCCCTTCCAGGACGGAGACCACATTTTACTCACCTCTGGATCTCTAGTCCCAGCACCGTGTCTGGCTCATTGAAAACCCTTCCAGGCAAGTAATTAGATTCCTGCAATTCAAATCTGCCAAGAGCTGTGTTTCCCTAAAATGGCATGTCCAGTTCTCCTACACCAAGGGTCTTTACCCGGATTTCATAGAATACCCACGGTGAAGGAAAAGTCTAAACCAGCCTGCCACAGGACAAACTCTACCCAACCCAGAACAATTGTGGGGTATTTCAGAGCCTACTGGGAATGAGAGATAGAAGAATTGCCTCTGGATCGAGTCTCGGGGACGTTCTATTCTTCATGGTTCTAGAATGGAAGGGCCTTTATAGAACAGAAGGAAAAAAAAAAAACAACCCTGGTTTTATTTCGGCAGTGCATGATGCCAGGTATTTACTAGAGCAAATGCCACCCAAGGCCCAGAGGGTTAGCTGGAGCAGCTGATACCCTGTGCTGCTTTTTATAACTCTCCTTCCCAGCACCATGCTCTATATATGTCCCATTTCATCAGGTCACATCAACTAAGGTTGTGCCCAGTACTGCATCTTACACCAAATGCATCACCATGTGGAATATTCTGTGTTTCCTTAAAAATTTTTTATAAAAATAAATGTAAAGTTTCTTAAAAATAAAGTGGGGGAAGTTTCCCTGGTTCTTTGTGGAAGCAGTGACTTTGCCACTTTTTACAAATGAGCAGCCTCTTTCCTTCCAAAAGACATTGCAGCTATCTGCCATCATCAGCAAGCTGTGAAATTACTAGGTTAGGAATGGAATATACAGTACAGACCTAAATTGTATATAGAGTTGAGAAATGCAGTTTTGGTGGTGGTGAGTCTGCAAACTTGTGAAAATCATTTGCAAAGACACTAGCTGTCTTTTTTTTTTTTTTTTTTTTTTTTTG